TATTATTATTATTATTATTATTATTATTATTATTATTATTATTATTATTAAATATATATACGAAATAATTCCTAATGAAACATGATATCATCATCAAGCAATTTTCATGCAAAGTTATATTTATGTAAAGGTTAGGAACATTAAGATTACAAGTAATAAAAATGACTTGAGAAAACAACATTTTCTTGAATTTGAGATTTGGTAGTTGATAACACCTTGCATCACATTACCTTTAATTTAACACCGCATATTTCGGCAGAATGTAACACCTAAATAGCAGAAATATACATTATGTGACGAAAAAGAAATAAGTTGAAATAGTTCTTTATTTCCTAATTTTAATACCTCGATCGCCTTCATGGCACTCGATTCACTCGCATATTTTGCGTAACCACAATTTTTATTCGGCAATAAGTATACATCAATTAGGTCACCAAATCGACTAAATACATTATTTAGGATTTTGGGTGGGAGCGCCTGCTTGGACATAAAATTTTATTGAAATTGTATAATATTTGTAACGACAAAAGCTCAACGTATACTACCTTAGGAACGCATACTATAAAACATCGCTGTGCACATTGACTCGTTGGATTCGCCAATGGAGCCGGTGCAGGCAAGGCAACACTGGAAAATGGTTCTTTTGAAGATTGAAAAGCTATATATTTTTCGAAAAAAAAAACCGCTTGTTAGATGAAATTTTCTACCCACTAAATATGATTTTATGTAGTTCAGATTTTTTTTTTTTTTTCAAAAATCTTACACTCAAATGCAAAAATGTTTTCTGCTTCTGGCTTTGTAGTACAATTGATTGCTTTTATAATAATTCGCTGACCAGGTGGATATTCTAGCCCATGAATTTTTTCTCGTGCATATTGTGCAGCATCAATGCTATTGTAAGCCGCTGTCGCATAATTCGAATTTCTACTGCATTCTCCTGTAATGTGACAATACTCCAAGCCGGGCACAATATCAAAGAGTCGCCACAGTTGGTCTTGATTTACGGTTGAGTTTACAATAACATTCAGCTGTACTTCGCTACTATTGCCATTAATACCCGAACTGGCATTAAAATTGTTTTTATTCGGAGTCACTGGATTATTCAAAAATGTTGAATAATCCAATCGATTACCATGACTATTACCAAAAATATTATTGGTACTGCCACCGCTTGTGCTACCACCATAAGGAGAAGTCATACTATAATCATCGTGCCGACTACTTCCACGATCAGATGAATTACTGTTTGATGTTTTAGAGCTTCCTTTAGGCTCCGCAAAAACTGCCCTATATTTTCCACCTACTCCTTCATAGGCCAGAGCAGCATGTGTAAATCTGTGAGTGCATAGAGTACGATTATATCAATCATATTTAACTAATATTAGGAAATGCATTTAATTACTTGAAAAATTTGACATATGCAAATCCTTTACACTCGCGAGTCACTTTGTCGCGAATCATTGAAACACTTTCTAACGGACCGTATTCTTCGAACTCTGATCGAAGATCCTCCTCGGTCATATTTTTCGGAACAATCACAAATAATCGAACATATTTTTCATGTTCATTTTCCGTTCGCCCTGATCCTTGATTTCGACTATTTTGTATTAATCAAATAACATCATAAATAGGCAATCAAAATTTGATAACTAAAGTTTTATTATATATAATCTACATTTACCTTGAAGCTACCAGAACTTTCAAAGGTCTACTTCCTGGTGGAGTTCCTAATGTTTTTCCGTTCATTTCTTCAAGTGCTTTTGCTGCTTCAGATGTTTTATTAAATTTTATGTAAACAACACCTGCAAATATTATTGAAAATACGCCAATTAAATAAATATTACAAATACTTAACATCAAATTCAAAGTCGATTTAGGTTCGATTGACCAAATGAAAGTAGTGGGATACTTTTTTAAAATATCTTTGTACCTTTGTTATCACCTGTGCTCCGGTCTTTTATTGTATAAATCTCTTCAATTTTGCCAAATTTCTGGAATGCTTCTCGAAAATCTTCCTCTGTATTTTGTTTATTACAAATAATAAACAAACCTAAAATGAAAACATAAATAAATTAATAAATATGAAAACATAGCGAATATAAATTCTTACGTGACATTGGCGGATCGTCGGAGTTTGCTATTCCATTGTTGCGAGAATTATCTTCATTCCTTCGATTTGACATGGTCTGATGTGTGAGTGGAAAATATCTATTTTATTTAATTCTACAATTTTATATGGTCTTTATTTGAGAAAAAGACACCATAAACGCTATATTTATACACACAAAAACAACAATAACCATTGAATTAAGGTTTTTTTTTATCAAGAACCACAATGTAAACAGATCACCAAGATTGATCAATAAAAGATTTTCAGCATTTAAAATATGAACTCCATGAATTACTTTGATTAAGAAAAGATGTGTTTTGTTTTGTCTTGATTTGCGTCCGGCTTCTATTAGATGTTCTTCTTCTTCATTTGATTTTTTGTCTTCTTCTTCTTCTTTTTCATGTATATATTATTGAACAAGCTTCTTTTTCGTAATTATACTAATGTTTACGATAAAATAATATTGAACGTAGATTATTTGACAGTTAATATAATGTCGTCCTATGTGAATGTGACCGCATTGAATTTGTGAATGTGCTTTAAACGATTCCATCACCGTCAAGTTTATACAACTTAATCATCAAAGTTCAGTCATATTAATAACAATGAATAGATTTAAATATTTATTTTTATTTTCTTAAAGATTTTGGATAATTTAAATATATTACAGACCAATTTTTCGTTAAATATTTCATTGTTTATGTATGCACTGCCATATGCTTAAAATATATTCAACATGTAAATCGAATTTTTCTAGTATCGTGTGAATGTTTCACTTACCAACACATTTTCAACATGAATGACTTTTTCATCCTCAATTTCAGAAATTATGCGTCAGAGAAGGATAGAATATTGTTTGTATGAACGTCAGTTGTTCTTTTCTATTTCTCTCTATGAATCGGTAACGAAAATGACGAAATAAATCATGTGTCGACAAAAACGTGTCTCCGTTCTTCAGAGTATTTTCTAGGCTACGTTTAAAATGTCGGCTTCAGTGAAAAAGCAACAATTTGATCCTCCGAGTTCTGCCAGTTCCGAAAGGTAATTTAAAAAGTAATTTGGTTAAATCAATATTGATTTTTTAATATATTTTTTTAAATGATAAATTTCTGGAATGCTAGGTTAGTATCTTTTTCCAGGTTGGAATATGTGTATGTGTCTTGTGTGTATCATTTCATCGGCACCTAGCCGATTTCATTGAAATTGATTTACTCTTTGGTTGATCGGTCCGTTGTGTGTGTGTATTGTTTGTGTGTGCGCGCGTGAGCGTGTATGCGTACGTGTTTGTCATGTGAAGGCGCAGAATTTACCTATAATTCTCTTAAGAAACCATACGACAGAGAAAAAGATATACATAAATACGAAAGAAGAACGATATTGAAGCAAAAAGTGATGCGGAATTGACTCTGTCTGACAATGGTGCTATTCTTTCGCGCAATTTTTATCACAGCAACACATTTCTTGTCCATCGATAAAAACAACATTTTTCGTTTTAGGTTGAGTTTTGAACAAAAGTTTTGGTCGACATTTGTGTGGTTTAATTTTTTTAATTATTAATCATCGATTTAAATTTTTTAAATCTATCTCGCTGTTTCAAATCACATTTTACCATTATTCGAATCATTTTGAAAATTAGCACAGCAGCATAATCATCGTATACCCCAATTATTTTAATTTGAAAAAACAGACACACGGACTATTTGGCTTCTTTTGTAACTCAAAACGGTAAAAAAAATTGTCTCATAGCTCTTATATCCGGCGATAAACGGAGTTGCGGTCCAATTTGGATTAGTATTGTTTTTAGTGGATTCTATTTCAAAGTGAATGTGTGTGAATTTCCAATGTTTTTTGTGACGAATCAATAAAACAAAGATTGAAACTTTAACAGAGTAACGCAAGATCTGCAGAGAAATGCCGTCTAACACCAAATTGAACATGTAATTATAGAATAGACATATGTGTTTTATAATTAATCACTTTTGCATTTGAGTTATTAAATTCGATAATCGGTCGATAAATGAGAGGCAATCTTTTATTTATCGTGTGTGTCATTTTTTTACCTCATTGTTTCCTAGGGAAATTTGTCGGAAAACTAATAAATTGGAAAAATATGTTTCATCAAGAACTTTAAATGTAGTTTCATTTTTAAATTGTTTTAAAAAATTATATCAAGCAGTATCCAAGTATTCTAAGACATAGAGGTTGGGTAATTTAAAAAACAATATTTCTGAGAAAAAAGTTCAAAAAATCAGAAGGCGATTAATCCAATTAGAAACCACACTATAAATTGCTTGCAAGTAAATAGATATATACCTTATATTGATTTTCTTACTTTATTTCGTGAGTTCAACAATAAAACTAATTAATTTTGCATAATAATGTTAAAATGCTGCTAGTCTGCTAGTTTAGACCAAAAATATTCAAGCACAGAAGAAGAACCGACATTTTCGTCGTCTTTTTTTTACTGCAAGACTTTCACTTTTATTTGATTTTGTAATTTTGTTTTCCTATAAATAAAAAAACCATCATTTTTTAACCACATTCCACACGATGACATCTAACCTCTACAAGTTCACCAATTTTGAATTTTTGTAATGTTTGTTTGGCATCGTTTGAATGACCAAATTCATCGAATTCTTTTGTACAATCACGTCCAGCTACATCTGATATCAGTTCACCACCACCAGGATGCTATAAAAATTTAAAAAAAGAATTACCATTGAAACAATTTTTAAAAAACTTCAATTCTCACATCTTTCAAATATTCAGTAACATCGTAAACGAGGTCATGAATTACTATACACGTTCGGCACCCATGTTGACCATTGTATTGCTTAATCTCTTCTAATGTATACTGAGACATGATTTTGTCCACTGAAGAAGAAATTGACTATGAAAAGTTCCTTCTTTTTTGTTATACTGGAAATAATCATTCCGTCAAATTCAATATATAGATACGAAAATGCGTAAGTTTCAATCGATGGCGTATTTTCACGAGGATAATTTGAAAGATATTTTATTATCTCTGCAGATAACAATATTTATAACGTTAATAAAATATCTTCCAAATTACGCAAATTTTTTATATACTCGTTCGATATCAGTGCGGGTATTCTAACAACTACCAGATATACATCGAGTGTCATTTGTATGTGGAAAAATGTGTTCCATCCTTTTCTGTAGTTTAAAAGAATATCAATTCTCCATGCTTTCTTTTCTTTGATGAATATGTTTTCATAAACAAGAATTACGATCGGTATTATTTGGCTAGAATACCCCCAAAGAAATTATATGTTCAATTAAATCAATCTCAGCTGTTATCATTGATAATTATTTATATATACGTGAGGTTTCAATCGTTTGATAAAACCATGATTGATAACATACTTGGAAGTAGGAATTTGAATTGAATTCGTTTATTATTATTTTGTGTTTTCTTTTATTTAAGCAGTCGACAAGTGACCTTTTTTTAATTATCAATCTTTCTTTGATTCGTCTTATACATGTTTTGAAAAAGTGATGCTGGAGAGAGGGAACCAATTGTTTCAGATCCAATTTTTATTGAGACAACCAACCATACGGATGATCCAGACTATGAAAATGACCTATTCTGCCCTGCATCGCCAACGACAGTTCCAACGTCAGCGATCAAATCCCGATCAAATTCAGGTAAGTTTAAAATTATTGACACCTATTGAAATTATTGTTCTTAATAAATTCAGAAATTAAACTTGAAATTCAGGTTCATTGCGGTCACCAAGACAATGCAGACAACGCACAACATCAATCAATTTAACCAAAACTATTGACGCAACGGAATCAATAATTCGTGCGAATAATCGAACTATTTACACAGCTGGCCGTCCACCATGGTATATTTGTCATGTATTTAATATAGACTCATATATTTTAAGGCAGCATGTATATTTACTTGAAACTATCCTAATTTGTATTATTGTGTTGAAAAGTCGACTCGCTATATACCGTCATTCGCTTAGGAATCGTGTCTTACCAGTAAAAATATCGAAGTGTCACAAAAAGTTAATAATTTCACCTATACAGATCGATGTAAAGTGCCGAAAAAATAAGTTTGTAAAAATAGGGGGTGCCCAATCGAAGTAGGAGGGGCAGAGGAGTACCAAACCATGTTAAAATTTGGTCGGATCAAAAAATAATGTACTACAAAGTTGTTCAGAATGGCGAGAGAAATTTTTTATGACCCCTGCCCTCCAAATCCTCCCACCCCAAGGGGGGTTGGGGGGTCAAAAAAACCCAAGATATGATTTTTTCGGCCTAAAACCTCAAAATTCGGAATCAGCATCCCAAATTACTCTAGAAACGATATTTGTCTTGTGCCCATTCACCCCAAGTCTCCCAATAATTCAGAGCCCCCCCATTAGGGTAAAATGATAAAAAGTCGACTTTTCACTTTTTGGGTGCGGAATTTCGCACTCAAATGTATGGCCAACTATAACTAATTTTATCCGCACAATTCATTTATACCATTGCCCACCCCCTCCCATAACCCCCAAGGAGGGTCCCCCTACAAAATTTTCGAAAATTTCGAAAAATACCCCGAAATTGGGTCCAGACCCAATCTAAACCTAAAATTAATTACATATTCGGATTCCTCGTGAAAAATTACCTATAGGCCCCATACATTGTCAATCTCCCTTGACCTAGGTTTAACTCCTTCTAGCTTGAACCTTTAATTCGGGTCGAAAAGTGAAAATACCCCATTTCATTGTGACTTCACAATGGGACATTCACCCCTTATGAATCAACTGGGCATTTAGGTTTCTTTAATAAAAGTTACGCATATCAATGTAGTTTCCATTGGCATATAGTTTTGGCCGCCCTGAATGACCCAGTTTGGAGGGCAATGGTTCTTTATTATATTATTTGGACCCCCGCCCTCCGAATTAGGTCATTCAAGGCGGCCAAAACTATATGCCAATAGAAACTACATTGGTATGCGCAACTTACATAGGAGGAAACACGTATGCTCTGAATTATTGGGAGATTTGGGGTGAATGGGCACAAGACAAATATCGTTTCTAGGGTAATTTGGGATGCTGATTTCGAATTTCGTTGTTTCAGGCCGAAAAAATCATATCTTGGATAGTATTTGTAAACGACCCTCTCTTGCGTCCTATATTGACAATGTATTTGAAGATGACTCCATTGAAGGAGCGCCATCTCTTTCACGCCCTTGAAAACAATGAAGCTTGTAAACTTCGCAAATTTCTCATATATTTTTTTCTTCAAATTTTATTTCAAAATTGTATAAATTACACTGTGGGCCTAGTCGGACTAAGTTGTATACTTTTACGATTTTTCTATATAAAAAATCCATATGGATTAAAAAAAATCCCGAAGGAAATTCAAAATATTAAAACAATACTCAAAATTATTTTTTTTGAATTCATTTTGTTAATTGTCATCGATTTTACGGAGCAAAACAAAATTGTCAACTGTAGCTGTCACAGAAAAAATACAAATACATAAACATCACATGTACGCTCAAAGTATCACAGCGATGAAGCTAAGTAGTGAGCGCATGTATTAGAATGTTCGCTCAGCATATTTTTCTCTGTTGTTATGGCTTGTACGTGTGTCGCTTGTGTACATGTATTGTTTCTGTGACAGCTACAGTTCGTTTTGCATTATATGTTTTGCTCCGTAAAATCGATGACAACTAACAAAATGAATTCATTATTTTGTTATTAATTTTGAGTATTGTTTTAATATTTTGACTTTAAATCCCTCAGTTTTTTTAATCCATATGGATTTTTTATATAGAAAAATCCTAAAAGTATACAATTTAGTCCGACTGGGCCCACAGTGTAAATAAGTTTTGCAATAGTAGCAACGAAAATAATTAATAATTGGAACAACAACACACAAATATTTTTCTTGGATGGAATCGCATTAAGTTTAAGGATTTGCGTTAAGGTTTTTTGAAGAAAAAAGAACTGGCAACATTTTTAATTTTTTATTTGCATAATATTGATAATTAATCTGAAAAATATTCTCTTCATGTTATTTGCGTTGTTTATTTTGACAGATATACAAAAATAATATTTTCTCCAATTGTCATCTCTACATATCTCTACACCGTTAAGCTATCTCATAAGTCAAAACACGAGAATCATATAACATAAAATAATTGTGTGTTGTTACTTCAATTTTTTTATTTATAATAAATTCTATTAATTATTTTCGTTGCTACTATTGCAAAACTTATTTAATTTATATATGAGAAATTTGCGAAGTTTACAAGCTTCATTGTTTTCAAGGGCGTGAAAGAGATGGCGCTCGTAGAAAGTGATTCGCTTGAAAGTCTACTTTAAGAGAGGGTCTGTATACAGTCATTCCACTTCAGTTTATACCTCACTTCTGTGAATGTACTCGTATTTGAAAATGTTATTTTTTGTGTTGTAGCATTTTTTGTTGCAACTAATAGTAATACATTTGAAATAATGATTTCACAAGAAAATTATGGCTGAAAATGATTGAGAAAATGCAATAATATTATTGTTTAATTGTATCTTTTTAAATGTAATGCATCACATTCTTCACATTTTTCATTGGTTCTAAAACATGTTTTTCTATTAAATAATTAATGCTATAATTAATGTAGATCTTTTCACTTGTATCAGTTGACGTTCAATCCTCAATTGAAAAAAAAAACTTAAACAAGCTCATTTTACGCATTTGTACACGGCATTATACATCATGGTGTGATAATGGTGTTTTCAAAATGCTAAAGTGCTGTTTATTATTCCAGTTGAAGAAAAGAGAGACGATCGAATAACAAATTTTTTGTTGTTGAATGATATGCAGCATACATTCGTCAAAAGTGGCACCAATCCATGTCTTGAAAGGTCTACAAATGAAATTGCATTGTACAAATACATTGACCGTAATTTTAATATTTATTTCATTGCATTGTGTATCGCGTGTGCAATTTTAATGTGTGGAATGTTTGTAGCAACAAAGTGTGTAAATTTAACATCATCTCAGATGATAAGAAATTGATTGTATTTCCGATGATGGAAAATTTATCAATATCACTGTAGTTAAGATAAATAATACATGTCTGCATTTCTAATCTTTATTAGCACTTTAATGCATTCGCTTGGAGAACATGAATCATCGTAGTACGTATAGTTGTTGAGGAATAATGATTTGGTAAACATTTCGTTGGTTCATCGGATTATTTCAAATGGTTACTGATTTTGTGATTTATCGATCTCGATTTTCGTTGAATGAATTGTTTGTTCATATTTACTTGAATCACGCCAATTTTAAGTCAAAAATATCATCATATCTAGAAAGAAAATGCATTGCGCGTACAACGATTTAGATGCTTCATTAACTAACATGTTCAGATAATTTATAAACTGTTGCATAGTTATGTGCTGAGCAAAACAACGGCATGTCTTTCAAACGATGAGAAAGGTGGTTTGCTCTGAGAGATTTTTTTACGCATCACTTTCGATTTTCAATTCGTTTATTGTTTCTACATCAACGTCACGTTACCGAAGAATTCGCTAATTTAACGCTCCTTTTTTCCACATTCAAAATTGTTATAAATGGTTTTATGGGGATTCTGTAACGAGAGTGTAAGCCTGTTTGAAATTTACGAGGCATAAACGTATTTTGAATAAAAAAAACACTATCAAATATATGACAAGATCAGTTGGAAATTAGTTGTCATATATAGCAGTAGAATTTACGGTTGTAAGTGTCTATCTAGTGACATAGAGAAATGCGAATCTACACTGTAATTTTGATGGGATTAGAATATAATCCTTTCGGATTTATTTGATAAAAAATCCAAATGGATTAAAATGAAATAAGAAGGTGCTAGAAAGATTTTTTGTATTCATTTTAAATGCAAAATACAATAGTTTTGTAAAACAGTTGAATTGTATTAATTGTTTGAATATTAAATGAATAATAATCATTCTAGTGGAACACTGTTTCATACCCGTGTGTAAAAAAAGTGGCTGACTGACTGACTGACTATGTCGATTTTGTATGAAAACCAATCATAGTTAACCGGCTGTCCCAAATTAAGCATTTAAAAACGACTATATATGACTATAGTTGACTATAGTCAGCTGCTCAACCAGTTAACTACAATCGATTCTATTCGATTCTAGCCGATTGTTGTCGATTGTTGTTAACTGGTTAAGCAGCTAACTATAGTCAACTATAGTCATATATAGTCGTTTTTAAATGCTTAATTTGGGACAGCCGGTTAACTATGATTGGTTTGCATTAATATCAGCACATATTCCATTTCATAACCTCACTCTTTTGAGCTCACCGATTTTTTTTTGTGAAGCGTAACATGGCGAACATTTTGCTGAGTTTTCAAAATCCAACAGAATAATGTGTTGAATATATTTTTAAATCAAACATTGTTTTCATATATATAAGAGAGACAAATAAAATTTCATTGTCATTCATTCTTTGTCAGTCAACCTGTGTGTTTCATTCATAATATTAAGCATTCTCTGCAGGTTATGGGCATATAGCTGAGAGTGCAGAAATTTAATATTTTCGACATATACGTTTTTAAAAAAAAAAAAAATTCAAGTGCAAAATTTGATATTTTCATAAAAGTTTTTTTTAAATAGTGTGCAAAAAGAAAGTAAAATGAGCACTGTACAATTGCCATTCAAGTATTTAAAGGGAAGAGAGAATTTCTCGACTTGGTGCGTTGGAGCAAAGGCTCATCTTGTAACAAAAAAGCACTGGAAACAAATGTCGATTGATGTGGCGGAATTATCGGACGACGCAAAGAAAGAAGCAAATGAGCAGGCATTAGCTGAATTAACATTGTTGCTAGATTCAAGTGTATATCCGTATATTGAGGGTTGTAAAACTGCGAAAGAGGCCTGGAACGCTTTGATGAAAACTTTTGAAGACAGTGGTGTGGTCAGAAAAGTTGCGTTATTAAAACAGTGGATTTCATTGAAACTTGAAGACTGTCAGTCATTGCAAGAATATGTAAATGTGAGTCTAATACTGCGATCAAAAGTGAAAAATGCCGGATTTAAAATTGATGAAGATGTTGCGGGCTCAATAATATTGTGTGGCTTATCGGAAGACTACAAATCACTCGTTATGACAATTGAATCGAAGGGAAGTGAAATAACAGTAGATTATGTGAAAAATCTCTTATTGCAAGAAGTGAGTAGTTCAAGTGGTAATGGAGAATTGGCCATGGCAATCAAACACAAGAAATTTGACAAGAAGAAAAAAGAAGTCAAGTGTTATGATTGCAAGGGACCCCATTACAGAAATAAATGCCCACAGAGAGAACATAAAAACAATGGTGATAAAAGTGTGGTATTCTATAGTTCATTCATAGCACAAGAGACATCATCGCGTGATCACTTCATTGATAGTGGAGCAACAGCTCATATGGTTATTGAAAGCAAAAATATGAAAAACAAGTCAAAACCAAAAATCAACAAAGTGAAAGTAGCGAACAATGAAAAACTCTCGATTGACAATGTCGGAACCATTGAACTTATGGTTAAAAACGGTGATCGCGTCAATAAAATTTCGTTTGATGAAGTACAACATGTACCCGGCTTATGTGCAAATTTGATATCTGTAAGTCAGATAGTTAACAAAGGTGGCGAAGTTTTGTTCACAAAACATGGATGTAAAATTTTCGACAAAAGTGGAAAAGTGGCGGCAACTGCAAGTTTGGTGAATAACATGTTCAAATTGGATGTAGTGGAAAATGAAGTTGCGTGCGCAGT